ATTATAATATTCTGATTCTGGGAGTTTTGAGAATATGATTTGGGAAATTATGCGTAAATTGCATAAGGTAGAAGATGAACGGAAACGGTGGCGATATTCATTCCAAACTTCCAGTATTTGATGGAAAAAATTGGAATGTTGGAAGATCTAAATGCGCGTGTTATTTGGCTCTCAAGATATGTTAGAACTTGTTACTGATGGCTATAATCTGTTAGAAGTAGATGCAACAGAGGACAAGAAGATAACACAGAAGGCGATGAGGAAGAAAGATCAGAAAGCGTTGTTCTACATCCATCAATGTGTGGATGTGAATGTGTTTGAGAAGATTGCTGATTCTGAAACAGCAAAGGCTGTGTGAGACACACTGGTCAAATGTCACGGTGGTGACGCATCAGTGAAGAAGGTGAAGCTTCAGTCTCTCAGAAAGCAATATGAAAATATCAACATGAAGGACAATGAGAAGGTTTCTGAATACATCTCTAGAGTGATCCTGATCACTAATGAGATGAAAGCGTGTGGAGAAACTCTGGCTGAACAAGTAATTATTGAGAAGATCTTGAGATCTTTAACTTCTTAGTTTGATTACATTGTTGTAGCAATTGAACATTCCAAAGATCCGAGCACCATGAGAGTTGAAGAGCTGCAAAGTAGTCTAGAGGCGTATGAGTTGCGTATGACTACAAGAACTTCTGAGAGGGAAGTAGAGCAGCAGGCTCTGAAGGTAACTTCTGGTAAGAAGCATCAGAAGCTGACTTGGTCAGAAGCCAGGAAGAAAACTAATGGTGGTCAAAAGTCAGAAGCTTCAAATTCTGATAGGCAGAAGAATTTCCAGAAGGGAAAGGAGAAGTCTGACAAGAAGAATGTTCAGTGTTACTGTTGAAAGAACTTTGGTCACTATGCCAGAGATTGTTGGTCAAACAAAGAAAGGAAGTCAGGAGAAGAAAATGTAGCCAGAGGAGATTCAGATGATGAACCTGTGCTATTTATGGCTTATGAATCTGATGAGGAACCAATGAAATTGTCATTTTCTGATTCTAAAGGGGAAGAAGAATATGATTCTGAATATTCTGATTCTGAAGGAGTGATTTTGTATGAGTCAGAATCAGAATATGACTCTGAGTTAGAATCAGATGACGACTTTGATATTTTTGAAGATGAGTTGGAATCTGAGGTTTCTGAAGACGAGTTAGAGTCAGAAGATGACTATGAAGTTGAAGGCAAGTTAGAATCCGAAGGTGATTCTGAGTCTGAAGAAGATTATGCATCTGAAGAAGAGTCAGAAGATGATGACTCTGGAAACTCTAAAGGTGAGTAAGATGGGGAATCTGATTCGAATATCCCACAGATGTCACCAGCAAATATAGCAAGAGGAGAGTCTAATGATGAACCTGTGCTATTGTTGGCTTCTGAACCTGATGATCTGAATTCATCAGAATGGTGGTATATGGACACAGGGTGTTCAAACCATCTTACTGGAAACAAGAAGTGGTTGGTTGATTTTGAGTCTGGGAAGAGTACAAAGATCAGATGTGCTGATGATAAATACCTCAATACAGAAGGTATGGGAAATGTCAGAATCATTCTAAACAATGGGAAAGTAGCAGTGATCCAGAATGTTTGGTATGTACCTAGCATGAAAAGCAATCTGATGAATGTGGGACAACTGGTTGAGAAATATTTTTCAGTTACCATGAAGGAAAATCTTCTGAAGTTGTATGACTGTAAACAGAAGCTAATTATGGAGTCGGAATAGGGAAGGAATAGAATATTCAAGGTGAATGTTAGAACTGCAGACCCTGAATGTCTTAGTGCAACAAGTGTTGTCAAGGAGAGTGAGCTATGGCACAAAAGATTTGGTCATCTGAATTTTCGAAGTTTAGGGCATCTGAAATCAAAGAATCTGGTATATGGAATTCCTACAATCAAGAAGCCTGAAAAGTTATGCAAGGTGTGAATGGAAGGGAAGCAACCAAGATTACCCTTTGCATCAGAAGTAGCTCCAAGAGCAAAACATGCCTTGGGAGTAGTACATTCTGATGTGTGCGGTCCATTTCCGGTAGCATCGACTGAAGGGAATAAATATTTTGTGTCATTTGTTGATGAGTTCACCAGAATGACATGGGTATCTCTCATAAAGTTCAAACACAAGGTATTTGATGAATTCAAAAAGTTCAGACTGAAGGCTGAGAATCAGAGTGGCTAGACTTTGAAGATTCTTAGAACTGATGGTGGTGGTGAGTATAAATCTACAGAATTCAGAAGTTTCTGTGAGGAGAATGGAATTGAACATGAGGTTACTGCTCCCTATACTCCTCAACACAATGGTCTTGTTGAAAGAAGAAATCGTACTTTGCTAGATATTGTGAGAAGCATGCTGAAAGAGAAGAAGCTTCCTCATACTATGTGGGGAGAAGCTGTTGCAACTGCATGTTATGTGCTCAACAGATGTCCAACAAAGAAATTAAAGGAAATAGTTCCTATTCAAAAGTGGGCTGGAGATAAGCAAAGTGTTAGTCATCTGAAGGTATTTGGTTATGTATGTTACAAACATGTCCCAGAAGCCAGAAGACAGAAGCTGGATAATAGAAGTAAAGTGATGTTGCTGGTGGAGTATCACAGTATAGGTTCATATAAACTTTATTGTCCAGAAACTAACAAAGTTGAGTTCAGCAGAGACGTCATTATAGAGGAATCAAAAGTTTAGAATTGGGAAAAGTCTCGTCCTGACTCTGATGACAGAACTTCTGAAGAAATGTCAGAAATACATGTTTCTGAAGCTGGTAAAGACTCTAACTCTGAAGAAGATACAGAAGGAGAAGATGATTCTGACTCTGACTCCAATGGTGATCCAGACTCTGAAGACAGTCAAGGTTCCGGAGAAAGTCCAATTTCTGAAGCAAGTGCTTCTGAAGAGGAAAGTTCTGGTGTCTAAAGTTCTGAAGGTCCAGTTCAGAGGCAACAAAGAGTCAGAACCATCCAAAGAATATTTGCAAAGTTTGACATATTGCAAGACACTGAAGTAGACTCTGAAGGAGAAGTTATTTAGTGTGTAATGTTAGTAGAATCTAAACCCGTGAGTACGGAAGAGGCTCTTAAGCAGCAAGTTTGGTTACAGGCCATGAAAGAAGAACTTGATGCTATAGAGAGAAACAAGACTTGGAAGTTGACAGAACTTCCAAAAGGCGAGAAAGCCATCAGCGTCAGATGGGTTATCAAGCAGAAGCTAAAGCTAGATGGATCAATTGGAAAACACAAAGCGAGATTAGTAGCAAGAGGCTTTCTACAGAAGCCTGGACTGAATTACTTTGAAGTGTTTGCACCTGTGGCGAGACATGAAACAATCAGACTAGTGATTGCAATAGCTGCTAACAGGAATTGGCCTCTGATGCATTTAAATATAAAATTTGCATTTCTGAATGGTCCATTACAAGAAGAGGTGTATGTCTCACAACCTCCTGGATTTGAAAAAAAAAAATCAGGAAGGGATGGTGTTCAAATTACACAAAGCTTTGTATGGATTGAAGCAAGCGCCCAGAGCTTGAAATTTGAAAATTGATTCGGTTTTTAAGGAACAATGGTTTCAGAAATGTGAGATGGAGTATGGTGTTTATGTTCAGCATATTTCAGAAGGTAGTATGATTCTGGTTTGTTTGTACGTTGATGACATATTACTCACATGAAGTTCTGAACAAGAGGTAGTTGATTTTAAGAAAGTTCTGATGAATGCATTTGAAATGACAGATCTTGGAAAAATGAGTTTCTTTCTAGGGATGAAATTTATGTACTCTGAGAAAAAAATCATTTTACATCAGATGAAGTATGAACTAGAGCTTTTGAAGAGATTTGAGCTAGAAAATTGCAAGGTTTCTATCACACCTGCTGATATGAATCAGAAGTTGGATTCCGATTCTGATGGAGAGGATGTGGATGCTACAACCTTCAAACAGATGGTTGATTCTCTAAGGTATTTGTGTAATACCAGACATGATATTTGCTATGCAGTTGGAATGGTTAGCAGATTTATGAGCAAACCAAAGTGGTCCCATTACCAAGCTGTAGTCAGGATTCTGAGGTATGTGAAGGGAACTCTGAAATATGTAGTGTTATTTCCGTCTGGAAGAAAGATCGAATCAGAACTTCTGAGTTATTCTGATTCTGATTGATGCGGAGATAAAGTTAACAGAAGAAGTACTTCTGGGTACTTATTCAAATTTCTGGGAGGTCCTATTTCTTGGTGTTCCAAGAAGCAACCTGTTGTTGCTCTGTCAACCTGTGAAACTGAATATATTGCAGGTGCTCTGACTGCATGTCAAGCTGTGTGGATTCTGAACTTGCTGAAAGATCTGAAGATTGAGGTAAATAAACCTCTGAAGCTGATGATTGATAACAAGCCTGCAATCAATCTTGCCAAGAATCCAGTGTTGCATGGGAGAAGCAAGCATATTGAGACCAAGTATCATTTTCCGAGTAATCAAGTTCAGAATGGAATAATAGAGGTTGTGCACTGTAGCACCCAGAAGCAGCTGACAGATGTTCTGACAAAGGCTATCAAAACTGATCAATTTCTTGGATTAAGGGATGAAATTGGCATTGTCGGTTTTGGGTAAATATAAATTAAGGGATGGTGTTAGAATTTATTTAGATTTAATTAGATATTAATTTATAGTTAGAAATATCTTTTAGATTGTTTATATCTTTGTTAGAAGATATAAATCTTAGATCTTCTTATATCTTTATAGAAGATATATTTTAAATTTAATTTGTGTGTATAAATAGCCTAGTGCAGTAGGTTATTGTAATTCAATGTAAATTCTTATTTTCGAAGCTATCAGTAAATATTTCTTTTGTCTTTTATCTTTCTTGTGCTCCAACAATTCTAATATATAGAAATTGTAATTCAAACTAACACAAGAAGAAAAAAACATTTGACAAATACATAAGTATTCAAGATTTCTTATAAACACAATTATATTCTTATCACAATAGCAATGGTGTTCATATCATGGAAAGCTTGATTTGATTTCATTCAACCTAACTATAACATCTTTTATCAACATTCGCTGATTAGGAAATTCTTCAGAACAAGCAACTCCAATTTTAGCAAACATCACCAAACACTTCCTAACCTTGTTTTCCATAATCCCTGTCTGATCTTCAGCAAATGGCTCAAGCAAACGTTGATCCACTACCTCAAGAATTCCTTCTGGAATTTTCACCTTGCATAATTGATGCAGGTTTACATTCTCACAAAACATGTTATCTACTGGCCTCTTTCCAGTGAGCATTTCTAATAGAAGAATTCCATAACTGTAGATATCTCCCTGCGATGATACTGGACCACCTGCTCCATACTCTTTTCAAACAATAGTTGCAAAAAATTAGGAATATTATAACACATTAAAGAAATGCAATGATTTGAATTATTACACTTTGTAACAAGTAAGGAATATAAGGAACTTACCAGGAGGAAGATATCCTATAGTTCCTTTAACTGTTGAGGAACTAACTTGATCTTTACTTGAATGTTCGGTGGCTCCACGAATGAGCCTAGCTAAACCAAAGTCTCCCAAATGGGCAACAATATCTTCATCAAGAAGAACATTGCTTGGCTTAACATCACAATGAACAACAACTTGGTCTTCATCATGGTGAAGATAATCCAAAGCATGAGCTACATCAAGAGCAATGTCTACCCTTTGTGTGAGGCCGAGACTATGATTTTCAGATCCTTCATTATCATGCAACAAATTTTCAAGACTCCCATTAGGCATGAACTCAAAAACAATAGCCTTGAAATCTTCACCCTTGTAATCAACACTTGAACAACAAGTTAGGATCTTCACAAGATTCCGATGTTTCATCTTCCCAAGAGCATTGCACTCTGCCACGAAACTCTTTGTTGCCCCGCTTGTTTCAAGATTCAACACCTTTACAGCAATATGTCTTTCAAAGTTGAAAAGTGATCCTTTGTAAACAGATCCAAAACTTCCCATCCCTACCAAATTGGCTGAAGAAAATCCATCGGTTGCTTCATGTAACTCTCCATAAGTAACTCTCAGTGTTCTATTTTGTAGAGATGGTGAAGAAGATAACTTTTTGGAGTTTCTTGTGAGAAAATGGACAATTGTAAAAGCTATGAAAGAGATCAAAACCCCTCCAATTACACTGATGATGATAAGTTTCTTTTTTAGATACCGTTTGTGTGTCTTAGGGGAAGCCATGGAGCATTTTGGAAGCTTCAATTGAGGTATCCCTCCACAAAGGTTCTTGTTTCCAATTAGTGAAATTGCTGTGACATTGCTAAAGACACCTCCTATGGGAACCTCACCATAAAGATTGTTAAAAGACAGGTTCAAAATATTTAAAAGTGTGAGATTTCTTAGTTCAAAGGGGATTGTTTTTGAGAAATTGTTCTTAGAAATATCTAAGATTTCAAGGGATCTTAAAGATCCCAAAAAGGGAGGTATTTGTCCATGAAACAGGTTTCCCATCAACACCAGCCTTGTTAATGTCAAACAAGCAGCAAGATCCTTTGGAATTTCACCAGAAAAATGATTTGAGTCTAGATACAATTCTGAAAGATGCTTCAAGTTACCAAACTCTGAAGGAATGGAACCGGTCAAAGAGTTGTGGTGCAGGTAAATAAATATTAAATTATCTAGATATCTAAATGTTTGGTTTGGTAAATCACCACTCAATTTGTTTACAGCAATACTCAATATTTGCAATTGGGTGCAATATCTAAGGAAAAATGGAACGCTTCCTTCCAATTTATTGCTTGAAAGATATAATTCAGACAAGATAGTAAGATTTCCAATACTTGTAGGAATGTTACCAGATAGTTTGTTTTCTTGCAAGACCAATCTTACTAGATTCTTAAGCTTTCCAATTGAGTATGGAATTGATCCCTCAAGGGAATTGCTTCCAATGTCTAAGAAAGTTAAACCAATTAGTTGTCCAATTCTTTCAGGTATCACTCCATATATTTGATTATCGCTTAGATCAAAATATTTGAGATTGATGGAAAGGTTTCCTATAAGGTTAGGCAACTTACTACCAAATTTATTGTGATCCAATCTGAGCATTGATAGTTGAGTACAGTTGGTTAAAGAAGAAAGGAAGTCTAAATCATGAGCACCTCCACTTCCAAAATTATTATTCTCAATATTAAAAAAATCAAGTTTATTTAATCGACCTAAAGTAAGAGGTATTAGCCCATTAAAAGAATTGCCTGCTATATCAAATCTTTTCAAATTGGTTAGGTTGGATATTGAATTGGGAAAATTTCCTGTTATATGGTTTCGCGCTACTGAGAATTCAACAAGTTTGGGGAAAACAAGATGTATATTAGATGGAAGACTGCCATATAACTCATTCCCCAAAAGATTAAAAGAGAGAATATTTGATAGGTTATAAAGAGAAGGAGGGATTTCACCTGACAAATTATTTAAAGCTAGACCCAGAATTTCTAAACTTGATAACTTACCTAAAGAATAAGGTATGCTTCCTTCCAAGTGATTTTCTGAAAGAAATAGCATTTGGAGTGATGAAGCATTTTGTAGGGAAGATGGAATTGTACCAACTAGATTATTGGTCTCGAGAAACAAGGCAGTAAGTTGTGGCATTGATCCAAACCATGTTGGAACTCTTCCGGTGAACCGATTTTCCCGCAAAACAAATACCTTAATATTTGTGCAATTAGTTAGCTCTATAGGAATCTCTCCTTGAAGTTTGTTATATCTTAAATCAAGAATTTGCAAGCGCTTCAATTGACCAACTTGTTTTGGAATTTCACCATGCAAAGCGAGGCTTTGAAGTTTGAGTATTCTGAGAAATGTGAGATTTCCTAAGGATGGACCAAGTGTGCCACCCAAAGTTTGGTTCTCCAAATGCAAGACAGATACTCTCATGTGACGAGGGCCACATGTGACACCCTGCCATTCACACAAATGCAAAGACTGATTCCATGATGGTAGAGAATCAGGCACACTGTTTGTAAGCTTTTCCTTCAAAGCTAGCAAAGCAAGTTCATCGGTGTATGAACTCAAAGAAAGAGCGTTTGTTGCTGAGAGCATGTAATGCATCAACACTGGAATTGCAAAGCAGAGAAAACAAGTCATTAAAATTCTCATTTTGCTATTGGATGTGTATATTATGAGTAAGCAAATAATAGTTTCTCTTGTATATGCTGCAGCTATTACATATATGATTATATATAGAGAGGCAAGTATAAATAATAGATAAAGATAACCGTGTTGTTCATGTCACACTATTCTTGTTGACTTGTTGACTTGTACAAGAGATTCAATCATTTTAATTTTATGTTATATATGACAAAGCTAAATGCATGATAATGATGTTTAAGAATATTCTGTCTTTAAATAACACAACCTTCTTAATCTATCTATTCATTAATTAAATCATTCATTTTATCACTCATGTAGTACTCAGTTGGAATCCATCCTTAAATATAAGATTCCTAAATAAAATGATGGGAATTAATAAAATTGATAATAGCATTAAATTTATTTATAATTAATATTGTTCTTGCGAATTTATCATTTAAGTTAGGTTTCTATGATGAGATTTATTGAAGATTATAAAAAAAAAACAATATAAAATAAATTATTAATGTAATTGAAAATTTGAAGTGTTCCAGAAATTATTTGGTGTAGTTTCAATTTTGAGAGATTTGATTTTTCTTTTTTGATAAGCAAAGAAAAACTGTTGGTGATATTTCCAAAATATATTTGGAAAATTGCAATGATTAGAAAATATATTTTAGAGAAAAGTGTAATGTTTTACAATTGAAGCAACGTAATCATTCATGAACAAAATCTTTCAAAGAGTTGTTTTCCTTCATCAAAGGATAAGTTTCACTATAAATAGAGACATTTGTTAGACATTGAAAAGATACGAAAATAGTATATTTCAAGTGCCAAAAATTATATCTACATTATTCTTTTATTTTTCTAGTGCACGAGAATAAATGAGTGAACTTTATTTTGTAAAATATCGTTGATCGATATGCGTAATATGAATGTGCGATTCATGTTAAGGTTTCTAAAGTATCCTGAAGAGAATTTGCCGGTTAACTCATTTGCATCCAACTTGTCTAAATTGGTGGGGATGAATCGAACCTAAAACTTAGTGTAAACACACGTTTTGGAATTTATTTTGTGTAACTTTCATCGTACCGTTTTCATATTCTTTTGTTCAGGTTTTGCAGCAGACCTCCAACACAAGATCTAACAAAAACTTGACATTAAAAAGAAGCACTAGGGTGCTCACCCTTATACAACTAAGGAAGCCAAAAAGCACAAAACAACAAACCAACCAAAAAAAGAAAAAAACATACCCAAACCAAGACCAACAAACCTACACCAACCCGACCCCAGGATTGATACACCAATTGGATTAAGAAATGTTCATCCCTTTTCTATGAAGAGTATTGAACCATTCCCAAGATAAAATCTTAATAAAGTTCAACACATCTGCTAAACAACGGCGACTTATCTAGAGGGGGTGAATAGATCCCCAATTAAAAATTACCTTTCAAAAATAGGTATTTAAAAATTTGTTTGAAAAACAATGTTAAGCGAAAGAGTTTTTGGCCAAGATTGAAATAGTCGTCTAAATAAATTGATAACATGAAAATATATAGTATATTTCGACTCGATTTTGCATGTATTTTGGTGCCAATTTGATATGTTTGCGTAGTATTATGCCATTATTGTTTGATTGTTCCAGGTAATTACCAAAGAAGAGCATATGTGCGAGAAACCGACGAAAAGAGCTAAAAGTGAATAAAAGAAGCAGAAAATATCATTTCTGGTGCACGGCGTTCGCCATGGGCCTGTGGCGTTCACCATGAGCCCAAAATGCAACATTGGCCATTTTTATGTGATATCGAAATGCCATGAGCTTGCAATCCAAAAAAAAAAAAAAGAGAAAACAATATTGCTCAGTCTTCTCCCCCACCTTCCGTACTTTTTCTCCATGAATTCCATACGATTCAGAGCACTTTCAAAAGCATAAATCACTATATATTAGTAGTTTCATGAGATTTTATCATCCAAGTTTGTACGTAAGAAGCACTTATAGAGTTTAAGCATAAATTTCAAATTTGCAAAGTGGTAGAGCTCTCACATTGGGGGACTACCACACCATGGTTCTTGGTAATTTCATTGTATTTCTTGGATAAAAAAATGAAGCTTGTCGGCATTTGAACCAATTTCCAGTTGCATTGCATCTGAAGTATTCCAAATTTATCGGATTTGAAGTTATTCTAGTTTATTATTTCAGCTTTATTTTACAGGTTCAATTATTTATAATTGCTTTAATTGTTAGTTTTGTTTCTTAATATTTTTTCTGTTCTCGTTGTTGTTGTCCCGAGAAATTGTTATACTTGCTATAAACCATTTTTAAACCTTTAACATGTTTATGCTTGTGATTTACGATTATAAATGCATGTTTGTTTCAAAAATCATGTCTGGCTAAATTGTATTGAGTCTGGTATGTGAGGATCGTTGTTCCGGCGAGACTTGGTATTCATTTGGCGTAATTTCTTTTTACAAATTATTTTTTTCCTGGTTCCGATTTTTAGTTTAAAATTTAAAAGGTTTTGCATGACGGTGAAAACACTAAGGTTACAAACCAATAGCATGACAATGTGAGGTTCGTACCAGGTAGTAAAAATTGGACAATAATTTCTAAACACATCGAGAGCGTTTTAGGATTAATTACGACTTGTTGGTTTTCAAAAAGTATTCTGCAACTTAAATGAGTGAGCGACAACAAAACATTTGTGGTTTTGAAATATAACAAGAGTCAATAGCACGACATTGTGAGACTAATGTTTTTAAACTAATATTTTCTTCTGAAAAGTAATTTTAAAACGTAACATACGCCAATGATTTATTGAGTCCCGAGGGTACACTGGGAACCACGTTCTGGTCTATCTTATTTAATATACTTTGTAAGTTTTACTCTAGTTCTAACTTTAGCTTTGATTATTACCTTGTACGAAAAATTTATTATCCTTAGATTTACAAAGTAGCAATATGTTATGATAAGTTTCACTATTATTCTATGTGAGATCGATATCTTTTATCACTATTGTGATACACATGTGCACTTGGTGTTAAAATCACATAAAGTTTTTGGTGTCATTGTCTGGGACTAATTTAGTTAATATCGCGACTCCGTTGTTACACCATATAGACTAGGGAAAATACCTTCCTACTAATTAGTTGGTTGTATGCGAAATACTTTTTCTTCAGAGGGCGAGCTAACACAATCGATAAACAAAATCGAGCATTTCATTCACCTTAAACGCTGAATTTGAGAACTCTAAATTCAGTATGATATCCCAGATATGGCTGTTGCAAACGTAAACCGTCCTCTTAAAGATTTTGCTGCTTCATCCCAAGAGGAGCCACACTCGAGTATTGCACCCCCCCGCCATCGAGGTGAACAATTTCAAGTTAAAACCCGCTTTGTTGCAAATCGTGCAACAAAACCATTTCTCAGGTAGTCCCACCGAGGATCCTAACCTTCATTTGTCAGTGTTTGTGCAGTACGCGGATACTTTGAAAGCCAATGGTGTTAATTCAGAAGAAATTCGACTCCGTCTTTTCCCATTCTCTCTAAGAGATAGAGCTAGAACTTGACTCTAATCCCGACCCTTAAACTCCATCACTACATGGTACAAATTGAAGAAATCCTTCTTAGCCCGATACTTCTCACCTAGTAAGACAAATATGCTAAGAAGCAAAATCAATGGATTTAGATAAAAATATGGAGTATCCCTTTTTGAAGCTTGGGAAAGATACTAGGATATTCGCACCATGGTTTGGAATAATGGCTAATTATCCACACCTTCTACAATGGTCTCTTGTACAACACAAGAATGATAATAGATGTTGCAGCAAGAGGCACGCTGATGGATAAACCTTACCAAGATGCATATCATCTCATAGAGAATATGGAACAAAATCATTAACAATGGGGAAGTGAGCAAACTCCTGTAGAGAAATCCCAGATAAATGGTGGTATATATGAAGTTAAAGGCATAGACCATTCCAATGATAAAGTAGACGCCCTAAATCAGAAAATTGAAAGTTTAACCGTAACTCCAGTAGGTACCATAGCTGCAGTAACCCCTGACTGTGAATTATGTGGAGTGCCTGGACACATCAATATTGAATGTCAATTGTTGGCATAAATTCCATCCGACCAATTGAATTATGCCCAAGGAAACCCATACTCAAACATCTACAACCCAGGATGGAGGAATCATCCCAAATATTCTTACAAGAATAACAATGCATTATTTTCTCCTAGCCAACCACCCAACACCCCTCCTTGTTTTCAGAAAGCAACACCGACTGCTCCTCAAGCGCCCAAAAATTCAAACCTCAAACTCATGATGGAAAACTTTGTTGCATCTCAGAATCAAAAAAATAAGAGATTCATGAATCAAAAGATTCATACCAACGAGTCGGTGAAATAATTGGTAACCAAAGTCGACGCTTTAGCCACACATAACAAAATGCTTAAAACACAAATTTCTCAAGTGGCACAACAACAAGCAGCTATTGCTTCCCCTACTGGTGTGTTTCCTGGCCAACCCCAACCAAAACCGAAAGGACATGCCAATGTTATCACACTGCGAAGTGGTACATAATTAGAAGACCCAATTGATCCGAGAGTCACAAACGAGACAGTGGTTAGGAAAGATGATGAGGTGACCAAAGATCCAGAAAGAGAGATTGATGATAACTCAGTAAGAAAACCAGAAGAAGCCAATAGGGCAGAACCTAGAGAAAAGGAGAGCCAAGAAAAAGAGAAACCCTACATTCCTCCACCTCCATTTCGACCATCAATTCCTTTTCCCCAAAAGCTTGCCAAGTCAAAGACTGATGGCCAATTTATGAAATTTGATGAGCTTTTGAAACAACTCAATATAACTATACCTTTCTCTGAAGCCATAACCCAAATGCCTTCTTACGCTAAGTTCCTCAAGGAAATTTTATCAAATAAGAGGAAGCTAGAAGATGATAGCACAGTAGCATTGATTGAGGAGTGCAGTGCCATAGTACCTAACAAAATGCTACCAAAACTTAAGGAC